CCCCAAAACCCCAAAACCCCAAAACCCCATAAGATTGAAATATAAATTCGAATTGACTTTTAAAAAAATGATAATATATCTACAATATAAGTCAAGAATAAATTTATCAATTGGAAGTGACACTATTATCCATGTTAAAATAAACTTTAGCCATTACAGAAGTTTACTGCAATTAATACCTTTGCTATGTCTTAGGAGTATTGTTATTTTAGGTGCTCTGAAAATGAGTACTTGTTGCTCTCATTTTACTTGGTCTTTGATTTATGGGAGTACTACTCATATTTAGCCCAAAATTTATCTATGCTAAGTCTTTATTCCTAAAAACTGTGCTGTTTTCCAAAGAATATTCAATGGAATTTAGCAATGATGTGTTCACATTATTATGATGCTTACCATCATTATTGATTTTACTGCTTATGTTGATGTTTTCACCAATAGATGTATTAATTAGGGGTTTCCGCTCTACTGAATGATTGTTACTCCAGCCCTTCATCACATTCTAGACTTCTACGTTGAAGTTGTGATTTGGATTATTGTTATTTTAAACTGACTCCATATCAAATTGTGTCGATTCTTGCTTAGAGTTGGACATTATGTTGAAGTTATTGGAGAAGTTGCTTTACCTTTGTGGTCTAGGTGAGTTCTTAGCAGTCTAGACAAATCTTCTATCATACTATGTTCTATCCAGTTTAAACTTTGAGGCCTAAACATTTGGTGATTCTACATCCATATTAAAAGCAGAGGAGGACAATACTGGATGATTTATAGTCGATGCATGAGTAGTCCTATCATTTGGATTCTAGTTTATGAATAGCTGCCTTCGCCGCTTCAAGCTTTTATTAGGATCTCCTGAAGTTGCTGGCCTTGGATTAGAGTTTTCATAGTCTTTTAAAGACATAGAACTTCCTATTGTTCCTTGTCTATTTATGATGTTTCCTGATAATACAACATTATCTTTTATAGTTTTAGGTTTGATTTTGATAGACACTGAGTTTTTATCAAAACTTTTTTCTTGCATGCCTTCCTCTCTGGTCTTTGGCACATAATCATAGTAATAAACCCTCTCAAAGTTTATTTCATTATAAGCATTGTCTCTCAATTTAGGATTAGCCATTATTCTTTTGGCAGTAATTACTTCTTTCCTTAGAACATCTATATAGCCAGTTAGTCTTTCTTAGAGTTTGTCTTTTAACCCTAGTTCGTGTTCAACATGATTTCGGTATTCACTCATTTGTCCCTTTTCGCTTACTTGCTATTTTTATAGCTATTTGATAGTTGTCTCGTATTTATCAATGATAATTGCCACTTCATTTTTATGCTATTATCTCAAATTTTCATTAAGCTGTTTAAGTTCTTTGATCTAGTCATTTAGTGCATTTATTTAAGTTACCCATCTCTCCATTATTTATTTGATGTGCTCTATCTCTGTATCCTAATAGTTTATATGATCCTGATATCTTTCAATCTCATCTCTATGCATTTGCTCTATCTCTTGAACTCTTGCTGCTTCTTCTCTTTCTTCTTTTGATATAAGCGATCCTCCTTTTTACGACATCAAACTTACTTTGCTTGGATTAGAGAGCATTCTATTCTATCTTTCTGCTTACTTATACTAAGTTCTCAATGCCACGACATCATTTTCTTACCAGCAGATGACTCTACTCATCTTAGACATTAATGTAAGCTTTTTTGCTTGATAAGCTCTGAGCTCATTATATTATGCAGCTACGTTTGATTGCTCTACTTGAAACTTTGTCCACATCTCATTTTGCCTCCTGTTAAAGTTTAACTTGAATTCATCCTCGATCTTTGATTTCATTGTCTTCATTTCTACATCCAGCTTATTTCTAAGGTATTTAATCTCATGATCAGATTTCATTCTTAGTGCTCGTTCCATTCTAACTTACTTCTCCAGAGTTTATTTTTAAATCAGAAGTTCATGCAGATGGTTTTGGTATAAATCCTTAAGCTTAGCTAACTTTGTTTGCTCCTCACGTTCCTATTTCACATTGTCAAACTCACTTTGTATCAATGCGAAATCATCAAATTCTCCATTTTCATCATTACTTGATAAATTCACTGAGCTCTTGCCAGGACTATAATCACTATCTTCCTCATATTCTATAAGCCTAGTCTACGTTCTTCGAGCCTTTTCCTTCTAATTAAATAAAGATCGGGTCCTTTTAGAGGCACTCTCTCTTGCATCACTTTTCTTCGGAGTTTGCAACTTCACTTTAGATTATTGTTGCAGTTGTTACTCATCTTATTCATTTTTATCATTATTATCCTTCTCATCTTTTTAAATTTACCCTCCGCCAAGTTTCAATTTAAACGCCTTCAAATCTTCATTGGTCTTTTTTGTTGAAACAGCAAGCATATCTTTCACGACTAGATTAGAATCACAATTCCAGAATGCATTTTCAAGTTGAGTTTAGGATGGACTTTTGTTTTTTCTTTTCATGCTAGGAGACCTAGATTTGAATGATTTATTGTCTGGTGACTCCGCAACTGCTCTCTCAATGTCTTCTATTCTCTCTAGCATCAGAATATTATCGTTATTAAAGCGTCGAAGGGGTGAGTTCTCAATATCATCTACTCTAAAGTTGACTAGTCTCTCAGCATGTTTAACAAATTAGTCATCACTAAGTTCCTCATATTACATTTCCCAATTTTATTTAAGAAATACTTTAATTATATTATCATCATTTGACTACCAATCCATCAAATTCATTTCCCACTCCTATTTTCTCCGTTACTGTTAATCTAGCCTAAAGGGGTTTTGGGGTTTTGGGGTTTTGGGG